GTTTATTTTACATCTCCTAGTTGGGCTCCGGTACTAAATAAGCGACTAGGCCAGGGTTTGCCTGCACTGGTGGATCCAAGGGGATTGCTTTCGGAAGAGAGGGGATCCCTCAAAAAATAGAAAAATAATTTTTTTTTCATTGGCCAAATACCTATCTATGAGTGATATAAGCCAAATTCTTAAACAATCACTGTGTTCTCTTTTTAAATAACGAGGCATATACTTGATCTAGTAAATGTAAACTGTATTTGTCTAGAAAAATATAAAAAAAATTTCCCTTAAAGCATTATTGTTTCCATGATAACCGTTATTAATAGAAAAAATAAATAAATTAGCTACCCCAAAATTAAATTTTGTTTCTGCTTCTACAGCACAGGTTAAGAAATATATTAGTTCCCTTAAAGTTTCTTTTCAGGATTTATTTTGCATATATTCATATTTCAAAAATCGTGGAAGTAATTTTTCTGTAATATAAACAAATTTTTGTTTTGAATTAAATCTTGATACCCTCTATCCTGCTAATATTAATTCACATAATTGAAAACAAATGAAATAAGGTTTCATTTAATAAATACTAGTTCACCATAATGAAATTCCACATTTTTTTGAACAATTATTAATTAAAGATTTTTTTTAGTACTGTTCAATAGGTGGTTTATTTGTCAATGGCTTATATAACTTCCTTAATAAATTAATAAGGTACAATGCTACAATTTTATACTCTTTCTTACATAACTTGCAGAAGAATCTCCAGTTGTACAATCCTCTTATACCTGTGGAGTACTTTGAACTTACTAAGAAGTTGGTCAGCAAGGTATTGTTGCAGTCAGGGAAAAGTCTTAGGATATCATTGAAGACTTGACAATCATTATGTTCTTCGATATTAGTGAACTGTTAATTTTATTTTAAAAATGATTACAAAATGTTGTTGATGAGGTATTAAATGTATTTCTTTTTTCAATATTCATGAAATTAATTGTTGATACTGTTTAAAAATCAATACTTTATAATGATACTATTAAAGGGCTTAACTAAAAAATCAACAATCATCTTCAAAGGATTTTTTTAATTTATCCCAACAAATAATCTTATTTATTAAGCTAAAATTTAGACACATCAGGTGATCTATTCTTAAACCAGAAAAACTAGTGGAGGATTTCTGTATTCTCAACTATACTTTAGAGTTGTGCTCTTTCCATTCGTTTATGTGATTTACGGTAGATATTTTTATCATTCAAAACAATTAGGATCTGAACTTTTTGGCAAATAACCAATTGGTAATCATTAAATTACTAATTTGATAATTGAAGATGATTTAAACAAACTTCATGAAATTTATGGGAAAAAAACTCAGTTCAGTTGGCGATTCAGTAAAATTGAAAAAAAAGTAATTAACAAAAGGGACTATAATTTTGCATTTAATCTTTTTAAAATTCTTATGTTTAATAAGAAACACAACTATAACTATAGTGTATCTAAGTTACGTTTGAGTGTAGAGAAAGGAAGCTCGCGTAGCTTTCCCCTTCTCGAGTTCTATCTGCCCAAGACCTGTCTCCAGCTCCACTTCTCTTCACCATAGCAATCACCTTATATCGGTAAAGCGTTATTCCATTTTTTCAAATTTCGCACAAATGTTTATTAAACTTTAATTTAAAAATGAAATAAAACAATGAAAAGGATGGTTAAATAATCAAATTGAGAAATCGAGAAAAAAATTTATTGATTCACGAGGTCTACTGTTCATAGAACTCGTTATTACTAGAATCTGTAAATCTAAATTTACCAAGAAATAGATCATAGCCTTTTTCATTTACTTCTGATGGTAAACAAGGAGAATCGTCCTCATTATGTATCATTTTAAACTGAACTGTATTAGCTTGAATCAAATGAATCGCAGTAGGTAAACAGCCAATCTTTCTGTGAATAAATGTAGAAAGTAGGAAAAGAAATGGAAACAAAAATGATAAAAGAAATTTCTACTTGTAAACAAAACTTTGGAAGTACGTATAAATGAGTAGAGAAGATAAATGAGTGGAAGATGGCGGGAAAATGTTTTGCCACTGCGCATCTCTCTCCCTCTCTACCTACCCTCAAATTTATCTTAGATAAGAGTCTATCAATATTAAATTAAAACTGATTTGATTTCTTTAAAATTATTAACTTAAAAAAATGCATCAATATTTAGACTAATGCCTTACTGTATTTAACATTTTTTTTTTTCTAAGAGCTAACATTCGAATGATATTTTTTTTTATTAATAAAATATGAAAGTAGTTAGAAGAATCCTTTCTCTAATATGATCTTAATAATTAGCTTGTTTTGTAACATTATGGACCATCATATTATTGTGTAAGGAATATTAAAAACTCATGGAGTCCTTTTTCAAGAAGAAATCTGTAATTGTATAGAGTAAATCTATACTTTATGATGAATGTAGAAAAAGCCGAAATGTATTAATTCCATTATGTTCCACATCTCTTCTGTCTATCTGTAAATAGATAGACAGTGAGTTGTTTTTTGGTCTCTTGTACAATTTGCTTTAAGGCTCCTACACTGAGAGTGTGATATGTCTCAGCGATACGATATTCCTGTTGGCAGTGATATGGCAATATAGTTGCATTACTGTCTGTGTTTTAACAGTCACACAGAGCTCAATATTATCTGCGGCGATAACGACAAAGGGTATCGTATCGTCAGGAAATATCGCATTCTGTGTGTAGGAGCATTTACTGGACTTGGTGTGTTTTGGATTAGGAAATCAATTATTTTTTCCTCATTACATTTGTATTTAATGATATTTTTAATAATTATGTTTGTTCTCTTTTTTTTAAATGTAATATTTATTTTATATAGGATATTGTGCTAATTTTAATTTGATTAGTTTGAAATAACTTATATGGTGTGCTAATATATTGTTATTTCTTGGTTTGCAACATTATTTTAAGTGAACTTGGTATGACATTTTAAGTGTCATGATATGACATATCAATAGAATATACATAGTAACAAAATGCATAACTGATAATCAAATTATTTTTTTTTAAATAAAATATTAATCTCAAATTTATTTAGTAAAAATCAATTGAAGATTGTATAAAAGTAATTAATTAATGTATTGCAAGGTTTAAATTTAAATTTGTTTTATTTATCTTTTAAAAAAAAAAAAAAAAAAAAAAAAAAGTAATTTATGATGAAATATCATTATCGAGAAAATTAGAGGAAGAATATGCACTTGAATATCCTTTTCCCAAGGGTCATATTTTATCAGCAAAACGCATACACATAAAAATATGTCTTGTATATTCAACATGCAAATTGTATACATATTTATCAAGTGTTCTTTTTTTAAAAATAATTTATTGTTTTTAATTAATCATAGTAGTGCTCAATATTAATTATATTATCTAGTTGAAAGTTGAATTATTTAGATAATCATTTGTTCGGATTGTGCAAAGTTTTATACAAATGACAAATCTGATAAATTAAATAAAAATATGGTATTAATTATTTTAAATATATATATATATATATATATATATATATATATACATATATATATATATATATTTTTTTTTTAATAATGCCCGAGCATGCAATGAACCTTTGAAAATAAAAGTGTTTCTCACATCTAATCATGTGCTAATTTGACACAAAAGTTTTTATTTATGAGAATTTTTATTATATTATGCATGATTACTGAAATTAAAATATTAAATTATTAAGTATATTATTATTAGTATATTTAATGGTCCTTTCAACAGTATTAATTAAATGCTTATATTTTATTTAGAATTCTCTTAGTTGCTTGGGTAAGTTAGAATTTGATTTTCAAAATGACTTTACTATTTATAACTTAAATTCTAGGATTCAAATAGAATGCTGGAAAATTATTTAGATTATAAGTTACTTAGTTATTATAAATGATTTATGGTTCATTTCATACATGTTTCCCATTCTTCTAAGCCTTGATCGGTTAAGATTTTTAATTTGTTCAAAGTATAAAAATCAGTGTTTTGCCAAGTAAATATTAATTTTTAAATAATAATTGTGCAAAAGTTCTTATTTTTTTCTATTGATTATATGCAGTGATGCTCCCACCTCATATATTTGTATAAAATGAAAGTAAAACTGTAATTAGATTATTTTTGGAGTTTCTTAATAAAAGCATTGTAGCTCTCTAGTTCAGGAATTTATTAGTACTTGCCACAACTTGCAAAGTTTCACTAAATTCAGGCATCTTAAAGGCTACATTGCTAATGTTAAATCATATCATTTCATAATACAATGGAACTAGTTTTAGTCGAAGTTGAAGATACCACTGAAAATTATTTTTTTTAAATATCTCTATAGAAAGGCTTAGTTTACCTACTCCTCTTTATTGATTTGCAGAAGAAAAAATTGTTTAATTTGTGTGTCTAATAATTAAACTCTAAAAAAATTTTTATGCTTAAAATGGATATAATATTTTAGGTAGATGTGTATAAGTAAAGTTAAATCAATGAGTGTACGTACGATTACAACTTGAAATTCACCAGCAAATGTGAATTGGAGAGACTGACAGTTCTGTCAATACTATAACTCTTTTAACTCTTAATGATCAACTTGTTAATATTTACAATTCTTTTTTTGTTTTTCCTTATGGTAACTATCCAAGATTTCTAATTATTCAAGTTCAATTGTACTTATTTTGATAGCATGGTTTAATTATTTAAGAAATAAAGCTCTGTAGAAGATTTAGCTGAATTTAGCTAAAAATTAACAGTTGAGGGATTAACTTGGGCTTTAAGCTTTTCTTTATTTTGAAATGCTCCAAAAATAATTTAATGTTTTTTTTTTTTATAACATTATGATCACTGCTTGATACAAATCAAGAATTAGTTTCTCGACAGCTCATATAAACCTATTAAGAAGTTATTTTTTAAATATTTCATTAGTTTTTTAATTCGAGGTTCATATAATAAAATTAAATATAGTTCATTAATAGATTTATCAAATTATAGGTCGAAGCATTATTACAAAGAAGGGCGATGGATCTCAAGTTAAAGAATCAACTGATAGTAGTACAACTCTCGAAGATGATGATATTAAAGGTAAGGATAGACTTTTCTAGTTTATTCATAATTATTAAATCTCACTGCTTGGAAGCTATACTGAAATATAAAACGGAAATATTGGCTATAAAACTTTTTGGTTTATTATTAATTTTTTTCAAGATTACATTAATACATTTTAGTTAATTTTATATATACATCAGATATTTATGTGTGTATATATATGAAGTTGGATCAAAATCGATTTATTTTAAGCTAAAATTATAAAATGATGAAGAAGTTTAATTACTTTTATCGCTTTGCTGTGTATGTATATTTATTTTAATCCTATAATTATGTTATATATGTCTCCTTTTCATATTATGTACATGAAATATATTCAAGTTTTATTTAGTTATTAGATAACTTGTAGCCGAGTGAGATTGCAGCTTTTTGTCTTTATTAATTCAAATATAAATTAATTTTTTTTTTAAATTACAAAACTTTTTTTGTTCTACTTTTTGTCTATTTTATTAAGCTAATGAAAATTGTACATAAGCGTTACTACTCCCTCGGCTGATTTTCTTGAATAATAATGCTTGTTTATATTCTAATAGTGATCGGCATGGTTTTTAGAGTTTTCTTAAATATGTAAAATTCAATTTGAATTGAAGAAAATGATAAGTTTGATGACAGCTTTACCCAGCTCAGTCCTTCAATGGTCACCTAACCCTTATCGTGTAACATATTAATGGTTAAATGTAGGATTAGAAACCCAAAATATTTTCTTGTCTCATCCGTTCACTCTATGCATGCTTGCATGAGTTTTAGAGGCAATCCTCCTGTTTGTTGCTATTAGAATATAAAAACAAATATAAAAAAATGTACTTAAAAATATATGTATTTTAATTTAAAGGTAAATTTGAAATTTTAATATCCACTTTTTTTGCATCTAATTATAATTCCTTAATCGGTAAAGTAAAACCAACTGGTATATTTATTATGAGTTTTTCCGGAAACCCGATTATTTTATTCTCTGTTTCGCACAAAGAGGACAAAAAAGGAGGCGTGGATCGTAGCTCGACGGTCATAGCTAAAGATCCCGAAGGTAAATAAAAACATTAAACTTTTTGTATTTTCCTATGCTTTTACAATAATATAACAAAGTTTGATCTGGAGAATATTAGATTTTATAATATTTGAAAAAAAAAATTCTAATTATCATAATAATTTCTTGTTTAAAATGAATCATTGTTCCACTTCAAACTTTGTTGAAAGCGTATAAATTAAACACTATAGTTTTAAATTTAAGATAGAATGTCTTATACAGTCACACAAATTGAGATACATATCTTTTCGTTTTTGATCACATTTTATCATCGGCAGGATACCAACCTATAGTTATAAATTAATCGCTTTTAAATTTTGTCTAAAGATCGGAGTATGAGTGTGCATTAAGTGAGATTGTTCATAACATTCATCATCCATGTTCATTTTACGCCTTCCTTTAATTTTTATCATGTTTGCTCCAAAAAATGCTTAATTGACTAAATTATTTAGTTAAGCCGATAAAATTATTTTTGATTAAAGTTTGCATGAATCCTTATGTGGGCTGTATGATGAGCATGTTTAGCATTAATGTTGCTTTGTCTACTTTTTATTATAAAATTATTTTTTAAAAATAATTATTTCCTTTAATTAATCACAATAATACAATGCTTTATCACCCTAACAAGCCTAGCCTATATCTTTATATGTTAAAGATTTCAGGAATAGTTATTAGATTTCAAATGCAATTCCAAAAATTTATGTTCTTTGTTAATTGTTAACTAACTCATCCCATTATTATTTTAATTATAACACCTTACGCATTTATCTTTCACCATAAATATGCATATAATTTACTGAATGAAAAACTAGTTTATTTGCTGCAAAAATTAATTTTGTTGTAATATTTTCAGTTTACTTATTTTCTTTTTACCCTTCATATACATTACTATTTCATTTTTACTACCGTAGGTTGAAAAAGTATATTAATATGCGGCAAACATGTTTTGGGTTTTTCTTTTCATCAATTCTTAAATCCAAAAAAAGGTCTGTTCTTATCCCTCTTTTCTAGAGACCGCTTATTTTCTGATTTAGCAAAAACATTTTCAATGACACTTTTGGGATATATTAAAGGTATTGCATTGAAAAATGAAATATATTGTTATGTAAAAATACAATGTATTATAGGGATATTTTATGAATGTTAAAGTGACACTGAATCATAATATGCAATGAATTAAAAAAAAATTTTTTTTTATTATAATCCATTAAATTGCACACAGTTACACAGTTGACTCTACAATGAGATTTTAAAAAAACAGAAATTTATTCTTCTTGTACGATTCATCTCATAATTATTACTTTAAACTCTCAAAAAACTATTTATTGTGTTCTGATTCAAAAGAAAAAATACTTTAAATTTATATAGGATATGGTGTTATTAAAGCTTGCGATCATTAAATTATTGATATTATTCAATATTTATAAATATATATATATATACTTTTTTTTTTTTAAGTCGCTATGAAGTGGTAACATATTTTATATTTAAATATGGCAGGAGAAGGCATGGTTTCATCCTGTATGATATTTCATGATTATAATTGTCAGTTCACTCATAAAATTATTGTTTTATACCAACTTTCAGTAAATAAATTATGATAACAATTTGTTTTAAGCGGTCAGTTTAAGCCATCAAAATCAATAAACAAAATTATCAAATTTACTTATGACTCTATAATCATATTATTTTATTTGCATTTGAGATTAAAATTGCCTCCTGAGCTTTTTAACATTCTCTACCCAGATTATATAATTATAAATTTAAGTTAATGTATATTATAATTAATATTCGCTTATTTTCGAAATGTATTCTGTATAAAATTATATTGATAGTTAATCTTCTAATTATTTTTAAATTTATGTTGTTCAATTGACTTTGGGTCGTGTCTATTGTGAAAGGGTGTAGTACGCCCCCCCCTTCTCCTGCGACAATCCTCGCCACTACCTCAAGGGCCCCGAGTTTTTCATCAGGGAAAACTCTAAATTTGACATCTGTATTAGCGCAAACTATTCAAGGTATTTCTTTTTTTCAAGGAAAATAGGTTTTAATAGTTAACAGTTCATTAACATCCCCCAATAATAACATCTTCCAGAAAAGAGGATAAAATAAAATATTATTTTCCTTTTTTTTTTGTAATTGGTTGTATTTTTTTTTATTATTTTTTTTTTTTCCTTTTTGGCCAAAAGAAAGCATGATGCATGTACATTTGGCTTGCTTCTTGTTTGTTGTTTTCTGCATGCGAACCCACAGGTGATTGGAAGACGGATTGTGAAATATGGGTGTCAAATATCACAAAATGGACAGAATCAGATAAATCAGATTCGAATCAAACAGGTAATGATGAAGCTATTATAAGCTATTTCTTTTTTAAGTAAACAAAACAAATATTAGTCGTCAATTCAAGTCTTGATGGACTAATTAATTTTAAGTTTTTCTATTAATTTATTGATATAAATATATGATAATATTCTTAAATTTTATTATTACAGCCACTAATATTATTATTATCCGAAAGTGTTTTTTTTCTTTTCTTGTATTTTTTTTTTTTAGTTTTTGTGTACTTATGAAAGCATTGATCCAAATAACTTCCATAGTATGGCATGTTTTCTAATTCAGTTGTGGAATCATCTTGCTTTTATTGATATATATATATATATATATTAAAAATAAATAATTTGAGTAAAAATCAGATTAGAGATAAATATTATAATTAAGTTATTTTTTGGAGGATTCCAATAAAAGTCTTGACTCTCCTTTATCAAAATAAATTTCCCCATTAATGTTTTCTGAAATTCAGCATTCTCTAGTAATATGGAATACAAACTAATAATTTTGATAGACTGATATTCAAGAAAATAATTCAATATTACAAGCTTAATTCTGGGATGCCTGAATTTGATGGAACACAAGAAGGCAAAACTTAAGAGGCTTTTGTTTCATACTCTTCCAAAAGTAACTTCGCATATTTATCTCTAAATTCAAGAAACAAATTTTCATGAAGAAATGTGGTGATCCTTATGGTACTATAATTTTGTTATTGAAGTAATTTAAACATTGGGTATATTATTCAGTTAAATTGTGAAATGCTGAGAATTATATGTGTTTTTATAAATTGATGCATTTGTTTCTGTAACTCATTATTTGGCTGAATACTAGACCTGTTTGTTGATTCAAGACAATTTTTAAAACTGGTCAATGCATTCAATGAACTAATGCCAATAATTTAAATAATTGTGGCAATAGTCTGAAAAAGGACATTTAAATCCTTCTTTTGAGTAAAATTAATTAAACATATTTAAATCTCCTATCACAATTTTTCATAAATCCACATAATTTTTTTTTTTTTAAATGGAGCTCATTCATTTACAATTGATCTATATCTATATTGAAAGAAAAACTAAACTGTTTTTCGATTTCAACCACTTTATTGAAGAAATAGTCTGTTGATTGATGAGTATGCTGTGTAATTTAACAACTCAGCACAGATGAGCAGCCGTGCAATATTACTGTAGTTTTACTATTAATTCTTGTTGATTGTGCTTAGCTGTTACTGTTAGGTTTGTTAAATAACAGTTATATATATAGAAAATTTCCTTCTTTTCTCTTTTTTAGCTAAATATCGAAGAATTAAAAGATCCTTTAGAAGAGTTGAGAGCTAAGTTAAATAAACATATTCCTTATTAGGCTTTATTCTATTAAAATGTATTATAATAATTAATTGTGGGTTGATGGTTGACTGTATTGAATAATGAAGAGAAGGATGGTTGGGGTGATCAGTCATAATAAAAATGGCAAAAATAAATAATAATATTTATTTTAACATTTGCCAACGTTCTTGCCTTCATCAGGGCTGATCGAAGCAATCAGTTGAAGAGAATGGGGAATCGATGATCAATTCAGAATCTTCAAACTTTATTTAAATTAAGTACTGCTATAGTGAAAATTTTCTAATCTGAGTTCAACAGTAATACATGTTTTGAGGTCCCCTGAGTCCAAATAACCAAGTCCCACAAAATTGTCTATGTGTATGTGAACAGTCTAGTTAAAATATGAAACTGATAACAATAGCCACAATTAAATGTAAATAAATATAGCGTCCATAATTTTTACTTTCACTTCCTCTTTGTCTGAAAATACTTATTTCTGCCAAGAAGAGGGTGGTAAGTGAAAGTCTTGTGATGCACGCACCAGATTTTTTAAATTTAATTATTCGTTATGACTAAAACAAACTTTTGGTTTACGTTATTTCTATTATAAGTAAATTTTCAGGTCTCCATTGTTAACTATGGCTTTAAATTAAATTATATGTCCTTTTTCAGCTATTGCCTCAATTTTATACATTATTAATTTAATTTTAATTAGTAAACTAAGAATATATTCTATTTAGCTTCATATATAAATTATGAGTTTGTGTTCAGCTTATCTGTTCTATTAATTATCTCTGCTTATTCTTTTATTTTAATACAGCATTGTAAGTTACTTAGCAAAAGCAGTATGTTAGTTGAAAACATTTTAGTTTATTGCATGAAATTATTAGAATTTTTTTTTTAAACTATTTTAAGATTAATCTACAGGAGTTATCAAATTATTTAGCAACTGTTACATTTTAGTGGCAATACTGTTTTAACTACAGGCTATACTTATTCAATTTTTGTATTTTATTTTTGTGTGTGTCTCTAAAAACAGATTAATGTTTTCTATTTTTTATTACCATTTAGAAGAATATTTTGATGATTTGGAAATAAAAAATCATCAGTTCTGTTTTAAAATACAATTAAGATTTTATTTGTTCTTTGGAGAAAAAAAAAAGTTTAACTTAGCCATTCACCAACATCAAAGTATTAGTATGTATAAATTCTATACAATAAAAATCTCTGAAACTTTATGTTATATTCAATAATTAACTCTAAATAAAATATTATCGTAGCTTGGAATTGCCATTTGATATACATATTTATTAAGTAATAATTTTTCACTGTAGTTTTAACTTTGCCTCTTGATCATCATTAATCTAGAACAAGATATTTCAGTGTATCCTGTTTAATTAAATAAAGGAACATTAAAAATTAAGAAAATATTTATCTTATTTTTTGGATCTCTCTTATATATCATTTCGTTTAATATATTTTATGTTAAAAGTTAAATTTTATCATAAATTCTACCATACCTGAATATATATTTAAATTAGTTGTCTTTTACCGTACCATAAAAATGTAACAATTTATTTATAAACTATAGTAAAGATGTAATAATATTAGATTTGAATAACTATATAATCTTTTTAAAACAAACCTATATTTCTTATCAGTGTTGCCTCTAAATAGGTTCAATTAAATGTTTTGAGGTACCGCTACATATTATACAACTTAATTAATTATGTTTACAGATTATTCGGAATAAATCCAAAAAAAAATTTCATATTTTCCTTAACCTCAATGATTGCAGAGGAAAATAAAGGATAAAGCTGTATCAAAGATATTACTTGATAAATATACATATCTATTTTTGAAATTTCACTGTATGACTCAGCTTTAGAACAATAATAATTATTGAAAGTGTTGATGTCTTTACAACGACTTTATTTTTTTTTAATGTCGTGTTTAAAAAAATATTCAACGGCAATATTTCTTTTAGTGGCTTTTGAACTGGTCAGACTGAAAGTGGAGTTCAACTGTAGAGTTTTGTATCAATTAGTGTTTTTTTTTATGATACAAAAAATAAATAAATACATAAAATCTCAGTTCTTGATTTATATGTTAATAATGCCTGAAGAAAATACTCTACGAAATCATTAAAAAAAAAATATATATATAGAAGTAATGTGCTTGTGGATTACATTTTTATGTGATTTTGAGAGGCACATGTTGTTTTTAAATGGTCATGGCATTTTGAAATCCTTTAATTAGTTTATTAAATCCAAAATTAAAGTGTCTATTAATGCAGTGCAAATTTCTCTTCTTCCATATTATAACTTTTAACTTAGAATTCAAAATATCTTTTAATAAAATATTTTTACTTAAAAATTAACACTTGTAAATTAACTAATTCACAACTCAATTTTTTAAAAATATTTTGCCTTTTGGTAACAATGAAAATTTCAATTTGATGGTATGTATTTACAATTAATCAGCTATTGTGATGTGTTTTCGTGCACTGTTTTCTTTTGATTTCATTATTCTTTAAATTTGCTTTATTTATGCTATGGTTACTTTTTTTATTTTATTTTTGTTTCTTTTCACCTTTAAATATTTATTTGTTTCTTGTCTGTATGCCTGTGCATGTTGACTTGGCTATAGAAGAGTCAGATTATTGCTACACACGCTTACGCCTGGACTCTGAAGACACTGACGGTAAGGAAGCTAAAGATTGTAGTAAAATAGATAAATGCCAGTTAACTTGGAAGTATTTAGTAATGTGTAGTTACTTTTAATTTTTTCATTACTTCATCTTTGTTTGAAATCATCTCATCAGTGTCTGTCATGTGTATATGATGTTAATCTTAGATTCCCAAATACCTTTAATTTACACCAACGTTAAATTTGTATGAAAATTAGTCACATAAACATGTATATATTTTTCACTCTGCAAGTTTGTAAATTTGTATCTATTTACAAGTTATATTAAGTTGACAGAAAAGTATCAGGAGATTCCAATTATAATATTTAACTAAAAAGTTATGGACATATTTGAAATTTGAGGACTTTTTTATTGCAACTATTAATAACAATCAAACACAATCACTTCATAACAAAATACAGTAGTAGATTTCCAATGTGAAAAAAACGCTTTGATAAATTAATTAATAGTTGCTGAGTGGTAAAACTTTAAATTAATTGGCTTAAGCTGTGTGGAAAAAATTAAAAATTAAATTGGATTCATGAAATTAATCGACATAGGTCACAGAAGAAATCCATAAAGTATTAGAAGTTTCATTTTAAAACATAAAATAAAACAATTTTCCAACTTAGATTAAAATTATCTTCGAAACCAACTTATATTAATGGTTCATTGTATTGGTTTCCTAGTTTCTCCTTTTCTTTGTTTCTCCATTTTAAGTTTTTATATATGTATATTGTGATATATATGTGTATTTTATAGCATGTTTATGTTTAATTTTTAAAAAAAGTGTAAACTTTTAACGAGATTTAGTCCAATGCATAGTATCTTCAGATTTCCTTACTAGCACCTTCACTTGCTTCGCCTTTGTCCATTATGTCTGTTAATTAACTTTAAAAAAAATATTTGTCTTTCCTCTTTATTTTGGGGAGCAGGATAGCTCAGTGAGTGAGCACTGACTTCCAGAGCTCCCAAGATCCTAGGTTCGAATCCGGCTAATGACTAGTAATTTTTCGTTAGGTATGGATCGACCCTTGGATAGGGAGACCCTGGGGCACAACTAGCCTCAATAAAGTGAGTACCCTTAATTAAAAAAATAATTAAGGGGAAAAACTTTGCGGTTGAGGGTGATATTGGCCCGTCACCTCCCTGCACAACCGTTGGCCTTGTAACAGTACTTTCTCACATAGTATTGAACCCAAGATCCTTCATGGGTTTAGCGGTACAGGTTTTTTTTTTTTTTCCTCTTTATTTTAGTTTTTGCTACTAGCTTAGTCTCCGTGAACTCTCTACAACTCTTAGTTAATCTCTGTTTTTAAGACTTTAGCTGAAGTTCTTATACTGCTTTACCCAACTATTTTCTCAGTATTATAAATAACCTGGGGAGGAAGGTAGGCTATATATAGCTTTGAAAATATCCGTGGTACAGACCCATTTTTATCAAATTATTATCATCCGTCTAAAACTTTGTGAATGGCTTCTTCTTATTGTAACTTACAAAGTTTTTATCTATAAAAATTCTCCGAAATGGAGAGTTATCTCATTAGATTCATTAATTTAATTAGGTACTAAAAACTCATAAATACCCATTTGCTTTCCACTTGAACCATACGATAATTTGATCACAAAATGGAAAAAAAAAAAAAAAAAAAAAAAAAAAAAGGTGACCTACAAAAATATTGGACCATTTGGCTTATTATATAAACTTGTTATTTTGACATGTTGGGGATGGAATTCACGTCAAACAACCCATTATTTTTATAGGTTACCTTTATTCTTTGTTTTGTTATTATTTCATTTTTTGATCAAATTACCTTATGATTCAGGTGGAAAGCTAATGGATGTTCATGTGTTTTTAATACCCAATTAAATAGGCAAAGTTTGCCAATCTTCAGATTGAAAACACCCCAATTCTGATAATTTTCGTAAATAAAATAGTTGTAGGTTACGATGAGATAAAGTTATTCATGAAGTTTTAGGTGGATTTACTAGACAATTTTGTTGTGTATTTAATGTATTAATATTATGAATAAGTAAGAACTGAGAATTGCTCCTTTTTTACTACTGTCATCCACTGATTTTCTCATAAATTCCTTTTAAGCAATCAAAAGTAAAAGAACTTAACAATCATTCAAAATATTTAATTCTGAAATTTTTCATTATTTATACATTTTAGAGGTGGTTCTGAACTCAGGAGGCAGTTAAAAAGATATTTTGTGTTTTTGCAGATATTTCACTTACCATTCTCATAAAATACTGGAGTTATTTATAAAATCATTAATTATCGATCATATGTTAACATCTGTTGAAATCATGATAATTAATCTTCATGATCATGCAGACTTCTGTTGACATCTAATTCAATTTAGTGAACCGTCAATCACTTACCTGGTCAATTGATTTTTATCAAGTTATTGTACCTTTTTGAGTAACACTCCATAAAATTAAATCAGTAAGTTGTATGATAAATTTTTCTTTTGTGAAATCACATTTTGCACCTACAAGGGGAGGTCACAATCTGTGGGTCACTGATTTCAACCAAATTTTTGTTTGGCATTTCTTCATTGAAATATATTGGACAAATGTCCTGGTGTTTGTTCCGATGGACCTTAGGAGTCGAGGAAAAAATCGTTTTACATGATTTAAAAAAAAAAATTTTTTTTGTTTAAAAATTCAAAGAATACTGAAAAATGAATCTCGCTTTTCCTTAACAAAATTTTGCTTGGCCTACATTACTGGAAGCATCTATTGGTTCTTGTAATGTATGATGCATTATTACTCATTTAATCAAAAATGTTTATTTTCTTATTCTGCAGGAAAAAAGAAATTGATTGATATATAATAACCTAGAAATTCATGTAAAGAAAAGGAAAAAATAAAAGAAATGTTTTTAAAATTATATAAAAATTTTTCGCAACACATTTTGTACAATATTTTTCAATGAAGACTAAAAAAAATATATTTTATGAAATCGATGGCTCACTGACCATGTTCTTTCCTTGCAAATGCAAAATGTGATTTCTCCGCCATTTTTCTCATTTATCTGGCAATTTATGAATGCCATGCCAGAAAAAGTGTTGCTGTTTTATAGCAAACCAGTCATCAAACGATTTCTGTACATTTTCATAAGAAGTGAATTGCTGGTGGTAAGCCACATGAACTGATATTTTCCTACCTAACGCCACAATAATTTCTTTTACTGTGTGTAATTGTCCATTATATCATAAAGCATAATCACTTTGTGTTGTCATTTTTTATATTTTTGTTGTTTTTCACCAAATACTCAATTCAAATCAATCATTTGTTATTAACAGTGTTAGGTATTAATGGTTTTCCCCAGGTTTTAGCTCCTCATAATAGATCACACCCACATTCAACTTCCTTCATTTTCTCATTGCCACTTTTGAATTTTTTAAACCATTTACAGCACTGAGATTTAAGCATGCTCACCTTAAGCTTGACAAGCATACGATTCAATTCTGCACCAGTTTTTGGTAATTGGTTACAGAAAACAAATGCTGTCTGCAAATTGTAGTTTGTAGACATGAAACTGGACATGTTCAACACTATTAAAATGATGTTATATGAAACTTCCATTCTTGTAAGTTGAACATCGTTGCCAGCAGTCGAAGAAATAAAATGGCTACAATAATGCGGTTTAATGATAACCGCATAAGATGTGTTCTCTTTGGACTAAATATTTTTAATAGATTTACTAAAAATAAAAACAAGTTTAAATTGATTAATTATATTTCATTTCTAAAATTGTTATTATATTTTATTTTTTAAATTTCTATAAAGTTCTCCTCTCACTATACTACTTAACTGAAATCAATTAGAAATTGAGTGATATTTTCATTAACGGATGTAAATATAAAGCAATTTGGTCTATCAAGACATTAAATTTGACAGACATCTGAAATTTACAGCTCATTTGAGCTTCAAAATTATATGTCACCCTTCTCTATGGTGTTCCACAACTATCCCACAAATCAGAAAACACAAGAAAGAGACTTCCACGATTGAAAAATGGAATTTAATAATAACTAAAAACATGTTCTTTGAAAAAGATAAATCTGACAAACTTCATGCCTTATTAAATTCCTTCATCTTCTTCTCATATGAAGTTATATCGCACATGGAGAAAAGGCCTCTTGCAGCTTTAACTCTTCCATTCCCCCAGTTATCCCTGTTCCATGCTGTCATCTTCCAGTTCTGGTTCCCAGGCATGGATCAGATATCAGCATCAAGATTCTCCTCAGAATCGACCTCTCAAATCTTAGCAGATCCTGTTCCTGATTTCTGGTAATGATCCAGTATAAGTCAGTACTGGCGGAATCAATGTCTTACACAGAGGGATCGTAGTGGTTCGGAATAGTACTATGCTCTTGAAATGCCCAACTAGTCCATGGTAGCTTATTAAATTTACCCAAAGTAAATGAATTTATTGACAGCAGAATAATAAAATTTTACGATTCCTTATAATATTTAACCACTACTAAATTTAATAAGCTAACATTTCCACTGTCTCCTCAGCGATGACAAAATATAGATGAAAGATAGATTTTATGTTAGTTTTCGAAGAAAATTATCAATATATATATGTGAGCTCCTAGATACTGATTAACATTGAAAAATAAAGATTAAACAGAACTGAGTGATGCTTTGAAAGACCTTAAAATGTATCTGAGATAGTGTAAGGAACATGTAACAGCAGATGTTAGAAACAAAGCATTTATGAAATTGGGGGTATGAAACACGTAAGGATATAAAAAAATCATCAAAAAAGTTCTAAGAAAAAAAAATTTTCTCCCTGATATACAATTTTTTTATTAGAAATTATTGGTGTTTTTTAATAATAATAAAAAAAATTAAGTTATTATTATCATGAAAATCATCTGTGGCATTTTTGTCAAAGACTGGGAATATTGATTCATACTGTGAGTTACACAGTATCCAAAATTGAATAATCATGTTATAATATTGAGTGTTTTTAAAATGAGAATAAAAATACTTTTAAAATAAAATACTGTTATAAAACTGTTGATTTTTTTTTAGTACTGGAAGCTGGATTAAAGATGGGTCTGCAAAGTTTAGCTTGCACCATCTGGTAAAAAAACATAGTTCCGATTCTGGTGATTCCTTAATTCGATATAATGTTACTCACAATCTTCAATAAAATGATAATGAGGGTTAACAATATTCTCTGTTGATGAACAAGTATATTTCGGAGGAAACAATTATATTGAAATGAGTTTTTTTTATGTTGATATTATTAACAAATTCCTTCAAGTTTTATAAAAGTATATTGAGAATCCAAAAATTGTAATATCTAAGTAAACTTTCAAAAATTAGTCCATAGTTTATTCATATAATTTTTTGTTGCAAATCCTGAAATAATTGACTATCTCTGTATAGATACTTTATTTGATGCCCCAAAAGTACTTGTAGGAGCAGAGCGAGTGTGCGTCATTAAGAACCAAGTAGACGTAGGATAAATGTTATAGAATAATGCACATCATGCCTTGTTTATATAAATTTCACATAATTAGTTTTTAACTGGTTGGTATCCTGCTTTATTTTTTATCTTATTGTTTTTATGCTAGAAATTTTAGCTTATTTTTCATGTAAATTTGGTTACAAATATTTTAATTAAAAATTCAAGTGCTTGCTATGATTAATACACGCTTAAGCATGATAATATCAGAAAAAAAGTATATATAAATCAGTCATATTGTAAAAAAAGTTGTATGTTTTAATGATTCTTAATTTTATTACTTGTAATTTATTTCCTTTATTTTTAATTTTTTTTTTTTTTTTAATGAACGATTGCATGCATATCAGCAATGCATATTCATCGTAAAATTAAATATTGTATATATCATTTTGGCTCTTTTTTTCCATCTATCATCAGCCGTTAACCTACAAATTATATGAAGAAATGGTTCTGTGTGTATTAATTACCGGCCTGTAACATAAAATGAAATATACTCTGAAAATAAATTAACATGTGATCGTTTTAAATAGAGTTAAGAGCCAAAATTAATGCAATTTCTGGCAGAAAATGTGTTTTTTACTGTTACATTTTATATGGATTTAATAATTGGGAAGTTCCGAGTTGTGAAATCAACAAACAAGAAGAAAAAAACTAGTTTAGGAATAGATATCCTTTAAAACATATCAGATATTGAATCTATGCAGCTTCTGCCATAAGATGCATTATTGCTAATAAGAAACAAAATTAATTCAGGCCCTAGGCACTGCTATGAGCTGAATTTTCTTTTTCTTTTGGCTGTTATTTAAATATTTTGGAATATGTCTTCCATTCAGAGCTAAGGATTGTCTGTCCAACCAAGACCTTCTCTCAACATTCAACTAATTCGTGCAACTCAGGTAAGATATCTACGATGACACACAGAGGCAATCATATACACTATGCACTTACGCAATTAAAAAAATAAACATGAAATTTATTTTTTTGTCCCGCCTAAGTGGCGGTTTGAAATTGCATTTTGTTTTAAGATTAACTTTTATTTAATTTTAGCATGTTTTAAATTGTTAGACTGGCAGAGAATGCTTAACAAGAATCAGTAATTTTATAGAACTAAGGCTGATATTTTTATTTTATTTTACTCATGCCATAATTGTGTATACATCATTTATGATACTTTTTTTTTTTTTCATATTAACTCTGTAAATGTACGGGTTATTTTGTAATTGGTAAGTCCTTTACCAAAGTACAGTACTGTTAAGAAACGTTAAAGTAAATTTCAAAGAATTCAATAAATTGAATTAAAAAAGTAATAAGTCATGAGCTGTTAGGTATTATCTCTTCAGTTGGTGAATACATCAAAATTAAAACTTATAGAAGATATCTGGTTGTACCTCATAAAGTTGTACAACTAACAGTGACATTAATAAAGTACAAATTAAAACAATAACAACTTACTTATTATTAATTTAATCAGAACAAAACTTATAATTTTGAATTGTAAGCATAGACCAATATTACGTTATTCATAATTATATGATAAATTTTATGATTTACCATGCTAAATGTCCTAGGCTTAAAAATTAAATATCTTCATCACTACAAAACCAATCAGTAACCGATTAATTTTTTCAGGATTACTTTCTTAATATGAGTGAATTCAAAACATACATTTCAATTTAAAATAAAATTCTTTGAAAGAACTTATTTCTTTTTAGACTTCAAGCTTTTATGAAGGCAGATAATCTGGGAAGATAAGGAATTTATTTTAATTGATTACTAAGCCTTTTCCTGATTAAACTTTAAATACTTTAAAAGTAAATTTGTGAATATTGAGAATAAAAATTGGAGGATAACAGGATTGAGTTACTAGTTATCAGAGTGTCACAGGTTATTTTATAGTTTATTATTATCATACTAGGATCTTTTATGTTTACTTTTATTTTAACTCATTCATGTCAGACCCAGCTCACATTTGCTACACTCATGTTTGTTTATATTACCAATCCACATTAAAATTTTGATATAGATGAACTATGCAAAGTATCTATTTTTTATCTGAAATCCAATATCATTTTTAAATAATTCATTTACATTTTGCAATCTAAATCATGTCCTATAGTTAATAATTATTTTGTTGTTCAACGAATTTATCATAAATGGTGTATTCCACAAAAGGTGAATTGCTCGCTTTAATCTTGATTATTTATTTTATTTCCAAAAAAAATATGGAAGTTATTTGTGATTTTACTATTCTAACATCATTCAATTAATTTGAATAGCTTATCAAATATTTCTCCATTGAATCAAATATTTAAAATAATTGATTTATTTACAGTTTTATCTTAAATTATGAAATCAAGATTTTTATAATAGGAATAAAATTTTGAAATTAATACGCTGTGTGCTATTCAATCTCAACTAGTTCTGTATCGTAATTTTGTTGTCTTTTAATATTATATTATTCAAACAATTAAACAAAAAATGAGCGTGGTCTTTTGAGTGACATTACTTGGGTTCTGTACTCTCATATTTATTCCCAAGTTTGGCTGTGGTATATATTAATTTTCTATTCGATCGGCGGGGAATCACTCTGGGGTTAGGAAAACCACTTGGAATACGACCAACTTAAATGGGTTCTTGATTATTCATGAGTTGTAAGTTTTAGATTTTTATGTTGTTTTATCCTAGTTTAATATCAATCAACCATTTTACAGAACTGATTTAAAAGAGGACCACGCTGATTTTAAAAATTTTTGTATTTGAAACTTGATGAGCTGTAATAAACAACAAGTATTTCATTCAGTTTCAAAATTTTATCCATCATAACAAAATAAATTAATATAATTTATGTTCATACAAGATTGCGTATGAACATGAACACACACATCCATGTCTATTTTTAAAGTTATGGGAGTTTTTTCCAGTAAACAAACTGTAATTAAACTGATGCTTAATTATTAAACAATCTCAATTGTTTGAGTTTGAAAACAGTCAACTTTTGCATTTGTACTATTTTACTTATATTTTGTTTCAGCTCGAAAACAAGAAGTAATTAAAATTACTGAACAATTGTTAGAAGCTATCACCGCAGGAGACTATGATGCTTATACGTAAGAAGTTTCTACAAAATAAGATTACTTTAAGACTCCTGTTATGAACCCAAAATTTCTTTAATTCCCTGAAATTACTTGTGTCATTCTTTACATGAAGTCATTTACATTCATGTGCTTTTTATTGTTATTTATTGCCCATTGTCGAAATTCTATCACCGAAACAAAAGTTTTTATAATGAACAAAGTGAAAATTCACTTATTTAATATCAATGCTTTAATAAATAGGTCTATGATTTAATAGATCTCCATGCCTAGTTCAAAGGAAAATTATATTTTAATATATAAAAAGAAAAACACTTATATATTATATTACAAAAACCAGAAAGCTTCTTGTAACCTCCCTTTGACTATGGCTGCTTGATGTAAGTAGGGCTGTCTGCCAGACTAGAAATGAGACTGCAGAGACTCATGAACTGCTTCATAAGATACATCTTTGGAATTCCCAGGCGTTCACATGTTTCCTTCCGTTACACCAAACCAAAGTGGCTTTATCCTACTTCCTGATGGCAATTCCTCTTTGGTGTTTTCCTTTTCCAAGTCTACAGAACTAAAAATCCTCCCTACATCCTAGAACACCTTACTCTATGTTTATCTATCCAATCTCTTAACCTATAGGTTTATATCCCTCCCATAAAACTGCTTCCTTCAGCTAATCCTTCGTCATTCGTGCTACCTCCTTTTGTAACTCCATACATCAATCCTCGTCCACTAATTCCTACAAACAGCTCCTGTTCCACCACCTACTCCATATTGAAACTTCCACAAACATTTAAAATTTACTTGCTTTAGTACACTGTATAATTCAATCAATTCCACAATTGCAATTAACAGTTAATTAGGCATCATTTTATACTCTAAGCCAGACTAATGCTCATAATTATGTAACTCTGTTATTATTCTTAGGGGAATGTAGTCCTAGAATACAATTATTTTTTCATTTCATTTCTATATGAGTACTGAGGAGATGATGGTCGGAGGGCAGTTCAAATGAAAAGCAGTTTTATTTGTTGAAAATCAACATTTTCATTGCAAACATCGAGATTGGTGATATTTAGATAAATTTAAGCATGATAAAAATAAGTCTGGAATAAAAATAAAACTTTGAGCCATAGATCTCCATCACTGAGGTCCTATTTTTCCACATTTTTTTTGGAATACAGGTCGAAACTGATTTCATTGTTTCATTAATGCTTATCTGAAGAAATTAAATAGGATTTTAAAATCCATTTAATTGCTGAATTTCTTTCTCATGTTTTGTTTTTAACTCTCTCAATTTAAAGGAGGTGTGGAAAACCTAAGAAATCAGGGCATTTCATGAACTAAACAGCAAAGTAGGGAAACAAATGTTAAAATACTTAACATGCACTTTTCTAACATCAAATCAACTCGCATACAATTTTTTGTTCTTCTGACTCAATTTAGAAGAGCTGTAGAGATGTGCAAAGACTTGAAAAACTGGGAAACTATTCCGATATGCTAAAATTTTGACTGAATTTACTTATAGTTTTACGGTACTTTTCTGCCTAGGAAACGACTCTGCATACCAAATTTCAGCTCAGTGAGTAAATGATAGTATCCAAACATAGCAAAAAAGAGGAATTAAGATTTATAGTCTTGAAAAATAGTGGCACTTTTTATAAAGTTCTTATTATAAGACATTTTTTTTCCCCTAGACTGTTCGTACAAGTATTTTACAACCTGTAGGCCTCCCCTAATTAAGAGGGTAATGGTCTAACTACCCGCGGGGACGAGCCGTTGTGGGAAAGGGCTGGGAGGGGTTCAATCCTATGATCATTATAAGATATTACAATGATTTAAATAACAAACAAAACCATTACAAACCAATCTTCATTCAGGTATCTTCAGAGCTACAATCCACTGCAACACATTAATGATGACTAATCAAACAGAGATAGAACATTTCTCTACAGCACTACAAATTATACCGGGTGCCATAAAGAGAGAAATAATGCTCTAAAAACGATAACTGGTGATGGAAATGTAATTCTTACTTCTCCGTGGTCGACGGGTTCAATTAGTTTCAATGTTCACTTTCAATGAAAGGACTGCTCTTTGTTTTATTTCAACTGATCCTACTGCCCATTGTACTTGAATACTCAATTGTAACTTCAAGTATTTCACTGTTTTTAGTTTTAAATTATTGGTTTTTGCAATCAACCAAAATTTTGATTATATATATAAAATATGGATATGTAAACTAAATGATTTTTTAAAACATGGTTTCAGGAAAATCTGTGATCCCCACCTGACGTCATTCGAACCAGAATCATTAGGAAATCTTGTTGAAGGGATGGATTTCCATAAATATTACTTCGATCATGGTATATCAAAATCTATTATTCCTTAAATATGTAACAGTTTGTATCACATCAATTGTCAATTTTGGGGCCAAGAAACATAATTAATAATAATCGATAAACAGTAAAGCTTTCTTATAATGCTCTCATCGGGGCCAGAGAAAAAGATCGCTAAAATTATCAAAAGCTTATAATTCTGCATTATTGATGGTCCTGGTTTCAAGTTATTTTAAACAAAATCATACAAATGTTCTTCCAAAACTAAGTTTTAAAATTTATTAATTTACAAATAAAAATGTACATTGTTGTTGATTATGATTCAAAATCATTATTTTCTTAAGGAAGGAGATGGTCCAGAGTGACAGTCATTAATAGACTAAATAGTGGCAAAACTATTTTATTAAAAGCCAACGTTTGACTGACTTTGCAGGTCTTCTCAAGGGAGGTGTGTTCAGCAAGGAGTTTCACTTAAAACTCTTAGAGGAAATTCACTCTAGAACGGGTTCTAGAAGGAGAAGGCCTGCAAAGTCGGGTCGAAACGTTGGCTTTTAATAAAATAGTTTTGCCACTATTTAGCCTATTTATGACCGCCACCCCGGACCATTTCCCTCCTTAATAATACAACGGTCAACTATTAAGTATTCAATAATTATTTTCTATTTGTTTTTTAATTTAAGGCAAGTATTAGTGTTTTGTTTCACACTGCAGAACAACACAAAAAAAATGTGTGGATAGTCTACAATTTTTCAAGACATTTGTTCTTTTTACTGGTTCGGATTCAATTCCTATTTCTGTAAGATCACCAATTAGTGTGAAAAAAGGTGGTAAAGTATGTGAACGAATTTAGGCTACTTAATATTTTATCAAACATTGACATCATCAATAAATAATAATTTATTAAATTTAATTTTTCTTATATACCTGGTTGACAATATAATTTTTTATAAAAAAAAAATAATAATAATAATAATAATTAACTGCATTTAATTTAATTTTTTAAATATTTATTTTATAATATATCAGTTGATTATTAATGTCCAATTGGATATTGTTTAAAAAAAAAATATTCAACTGTTAACTGAAGTTATTCTTAGAGAATATGTTTTGATATGCTAAGAGTTGATTATTATCCAGAGGACAGGATAACCGATCACGTTGTGGTGTGGGTCCCAGAGTACCCGGTTCTGAACGTTGTAGATTCAATTCCTATCTGGATCGGTTAATTTTCGTTTCCCACTCTGTTAAGTACGCAGCGATAACATTAAGGTAGCCGTCAGGGATTGGCAAAAAGGACCACAATAGAGCCCATTTTCTGGAATGTTTTAAAATATAGTTTTAAAATTATAAACATTCGTTAATTTATAAATGTTTTCTTTTATTTGCTTATGTTTCATTGATCTTAGCCTTGATACTGACAATCATATGATGCAACCAACTGTTATGGATTATTATTTTCTGTTCATTGTTTTATTTTTTTTCTATAGTTGCGCCAAAAAGTAGTAAATTTCTCAATACTACAATATTGAATCCAAATGTCCACCTTTTGGGTGAAGAGGCTGCATGTATAGCTTATGTCAGGCTTACTCAATATTTAGACAAGTAAGTATATTAAATTATTTATTATTGATACATCAAAAAAAGTTTTAGAAATGACTATATTGTTAAATTTAATACAGGGGAACTCCTTAGAGGGAGCTGGTTACGATAGCTGGGGGAATAGCAATAATTTCTGATTTATTGCAATGTAGAGATATTTTCAGTAAAGAAGGCTATTTAGTAGGCGTGGTGGCCGAGCAGGCTGAACATCTTTGCAAAACTAGAGCTAGGCTAATGTAGCAACCTGATTAACAAAGTTAATATCATAAAATAATTACGAATTTGTGTCCAAGAGGGCTTTTAACTCTGGCATTAATCCCCTTCCCTCTTCCCTGGCCTGGGGAGAGCCATATACCCTAAAAGAAGAAGAAAGGAGGTTAAAAAAAAAAAAAAACTTATATACAGAAATGATTAAACCTATAAAACAATTTTTATTTTTCAGAAAAATTGGATAACTATTTTATCATAAGAGTAGTTTATAAAGTATGGCACCGTAATGGTTAGAGTAAAGATTTTATATGATGAAAAACTCTAGTTCAAAACAGCTAAGGATATTAATTTTTTTTCAATAAAATATGGCCTTTTTCAGAATGAGAACCAGATCTGGGTAAAAAGTATTTTAAAATACAGTGTATTTTAATTGTAAAGTATTTAAATAGCTTTCAGAACATGGATTGAAAATACAAAAAGTATTTTGTATTTTAATAACAATATACTTTCTGGTGGACGATCAATCTATATTACTAGCAATCAATCTAAATCACCTTTATTTACTAATTTATTTTGTGTATTTAAAATACAAAATAAAATAATTTTTATATATTTTAGTATCTTTGAAATAAAATTCGAAATTGAAATCGAGAATTTAAAATTCTCTATTTACTTTTGTTTTGCTCCATATACCGAAGCCATTGGCTTTATTTCTCACTTGGTGGTAAATTTTGCTCAAAAGATTTATTTATATTATTACTGTTCAGTACTTATGTATAGGATTTCATGAAATTGTCCGATTGAATTAAAGTGGAATTTCACTGTATTAAATTTTAATTAATATGTTTTAATGAGTTTGTAATATTATAATGTGTTAAACATATTTTATTATTTAAAGAATAATTTTATTAATTTGTATCTCTTATTAATATTTTTGTATCTTTCAGACAAGGAGCTACGCAAGTTTGCCAGTGTGAAGAAACTAGGGTTTGGCAAAAAAAAGACAGTAAATGGCAAAATGTTCATTTCCATAGGTCTTCAAATACGCCCTCGTTTTCATATCCACAGCATAAGTAGTCTGTTGCTATTGCTGTAAGCTGTTATCTGTTTCTCTCTTTCTATTATTTCTAAGGAGGGATGGATTTCACGTTCTGATGAATGTTTTCTTTACCGGGCGATTAGATCGCCTGAACTACTGATCTCTCCAGGCTGAATCGCCCAGGACTGTAGAGGTGCTACCGTTTCTACACAACCCACGCTTTTTATTACATGATAAAAGAAAAAAGAAAAAAAAAACGGAGCAAGAATTGGATTCCATTAAAACTTAATTACTTAGAAGTGTTTGTACCCACTGTTTTTAAAAATAAAAGTGCATTTATATTTCATATGCAAAAAACTGCAATCTTATATTTGGATGGCGACATGAAAATATATTCTATAGGTCTAGTCTAGGTACTTAATTATATACAAAGCTCCAAGAATTGTCTTTTCAAACTAAATTTTAAATTCAAATTAATTAAATTTTATTGATTCTATAGTGCTTCATCCTTGTTCCATAGCATTTAATCTTCAAGCTTTGTTAAAGATTGGTTTTCTGTTTATTATGATAAATTTTGGCCTAATCATCTGTGACTACTGTAGTGAATAAAAGTAAACATAAATTTAAATTTTGTATTGTAAAAATATACAAAATGGAGGAAGGTGAGGGGCCACGCCTCGCTGACTACTAAACGTGATAGACTTGAAATTTTAGACAACTGTTTGCATGTCTATTAAATAATTAAATTTTCAATTATTTATTTAAACGTGAATACTTTTTCATAATAAAAAACTTTATATTTATTGTCTTCTAATTGTAAGTGAAATTTACCATTATAACAATATTGGATTAACTGATATATATTTAGGTGTATGCCGTTGAGTACATGAGAATGGAATACAAGATTGATTTAGAGCAATATAAATTTATATATTTAAACAGCTTTTGGGTGTGTAAGCTACTGATTTTCGTAATTTGTGAACTGTATTTTCTGTTTATACAAATAGTCTTCACATTCATAATTCTAAAGCAATTACGACAAACTAGAAATTAATTTCAATTTTTATATCATAAGGCTTATTTGACCTTCATACATAAAAGTCAGTTTTTATAACTAAATGATATTATTATAAATGGAATATGAAATATTGATATTACATAAGTCTTAATAAAACTTCAAGCATTGCATGTAACAGTTGCTAAATCTTTAATAGAAACTGTTTTATCTGTTTCCGGTTCTTTTTTTTTTTTTATTTAGTCTAAAATCTCATTTTCATAAAGAAAGAAATTTAAAATTTTTAAGCGATTTTCTTAAAATAAAAAGGCTTGCAGTTTAGTAATATTGTTGTGATAAGATTTATGTAAAAAATTTAAATGAATTATTACAATGGCAGTTTAATATTGTATAAAGTTCTTTATGCTATGGAAAACTAAAAACACCAATACTAGTTTGCTGTTGAACAATATTCCCTACTGCAATACGGTTAAAGCAGTTATTTGAAATCTGCTTAATCTGTATTTTATATTCTTAGAGAATCAGTTTCAATGATATATGTATTTCTAAGAATTCACTCCCATTGTAAATAATTCTGTTAAAAACTATTGTTGTATCGCAAGAATTTTTTTTTTTATTTATAAATCGCTGTAATTTCATCTTAAAACCTATTAAGATAAAATACTTGAATAGATGTTACCCACTTTTAGGACTTGAAGAAATTTTTTATCATTTAATATCAAATTTTATAAGGTCGCTCAAAAGCGTAAAAATTTTTTAGTTACCATTATAGATTTTGTTATTTATTGTATTTTTAAGTTTTTATAAATATGTATATACGGAGTCAGTATAGCTCCTCTCAGTATTCGAACTCTTTTGGGTTCAATTAGGAACTGATTATAAATTAACCATTATAAATTTATTTTTCACTTTTGAGGTAGACTATCGATTATTCATGGCTGAGGGGATTAATGTAATTTAAATTTGTTTAAAATTTAAATATATGAAGTTTTAATAAGAGATCTATAATACTGTTATAACAAATTTAAAAAGACACAAAACTCTTTCAATGAATGTAGAAAGTAGTACTTTTTCTAGTTTGATTACTAATTAGCTACTAACATCTCAAAAAGTAGTCATTTTAAACCTTTGAAACAACACTGTAGCTTACTTTTTCTACTTGTCAACCATGTTCGCACAAACAGCTGTGATTCATTCCTTGTTATGGTTTAATCACAAAATGTTATTTTTGAAAATTAGAGCCAGAGGTTTTTTTACCTAAACACTTAAAATAATAATAAAATGTTATTCATTTTGAAATGAGATAACTAAATTAATTATTTTTGGTTGGTTCTTCTATAAGTGTAAAACACATCAATATACATTTTATTTGTTGAAATGATTGAATAAATCTAAAAAAAAAAGGTTTAATTTGACTGGAAAAATATTAAAAAAAAAAAAATGTTAGTGGTTAAAATGGACTGGCAAATGTTATATTTATAAATACATTATGAGACTGAAAATGTATTGTCTCGGTATTATGACTTTATGATATATTATCCATTATTTTTTGAAAACCCCAGCAAATCATCGTAAGTCTACTAAACATTTTTATGTAAAGCGTACATTTATAATTAATATATAAATATGTGATGATTATTGTCAGTGAATAATTTTCTATATAAATTTAGATATATCCTTGCACTGTTAAAGGCATATATCCATAAACCCACTTCTAATTCAATTAATTTATATATAATACAGATATTTATAATGTTTTGACATTATCTCATTATGTATAAATTTTATAAAATGTTAATGTGTGTATATTTAATGTATATTAATTATAGTTTTCATGCAATGATACGTTTCCTTTCACTACAAATCTTAATGTAATTAAATAAATTTGAAATTCTTTTTAAATTATTAACAATTAGTGAGAAAAAAAAATATGTATATTGGTCAAGTCGCTAAAGTTTGAAACACTTGTAACTTTTTTCTGAAAAAATAATAGGAGTGTTTATAGCCTGATTCTACTGCCATTCCTAATTTTAAGTTAAATTATTAAATGTATGTTTGTTACAAATACATAGCTACTGCTACAAATAATTTATATTAATTTTTGTTTATGAGACTACCACTTGTTCTAAATTTTTCTATGGCTTCAAACCATATTTTTGTTTTTATACATAGGACTACTATTATTTTCTATTTAATATGTGTTTAGAAAGTTTGAAAATTTTAAGTAATTATGTTTGATGATAAATAAATAACATAAAGTTATTTTAAAATTTTATTTTTCCTTTTCTAGAATAAGATATATTAATACAGCGGGTGTCTTAATAATCTTGGATAGGTCATATAATGAAGGTCAATAATAAAATAGATGGTAGTTAGTTTGTAGAACCTTGAAATACTTAGCTAAACGTTTTGAATTCCATTTTTAAAAACATAAAAGTGACTTATTAACAATGACCATTTTTTCCCCCAAGGAATCTGTAGAAAATACTTATACTATCACCAACCAGTGTGCAGAAGAAAAGATTCAACCAGGGAGTGTGAATGATAGGTCGAATTCATGAAATTGTATTTTTTTTATATCAGGATGATTTTTGGTGTCCTCAAAGAAAATTGAAGACTTTTACATGACTCAATAGGTGGAGTATGATGGCTACCTATCTCTCTGAAGGTTATGTTACTGTGCATAATTACTGAAAATATTATTTATTTTTGGTGGACTTGGATGTGGATGGAGTTTTAAAAAGTTAACATTTTACATCTCTGGTCAAGGACTGTAATATGAAGAGGATTTAAAACAAACTTAAGCTGAAAAAATACATACACAAAAATGTTTGAATGCTCATATCACTTGATTGAATAAAAACTAACATAGCATTAAAGTGAAAGATTTCTTAAATTTTACATAATAAATAATAAATCTTATTGATTATAACACAAAAGTGGTAGATAGTATTTAAGTTTGTACAGCTTTCTACCAAAGAAACCTCAATTAAGCATTGTTTTATTTTAATCTTAAATAATTATTATTAAAAAACTGAGATATGTCAATTCAACTTTAAATTAAAGCAATTTATTGTTTAAACCTTATCAATTTTCATTTTTAAATATAGCATTTAAGCAAAAGTAATCCTGCAAAGCAACCAGTGTGTGAGTTTTGTATAACAATTATTTTTGCCTGGTGAAAAAATAACACACAGATTAAATGAATTTAACTATCAAATAACTGTGAATAACCAAATATAGAGTATAGAATCAAACCCTAACCACTTCACTTATGTTAATTTATGAATCACACGGACTGCTAAATGAGGAATTGGTGACAATGTAAAATGAGGATTTTTTACAAATTTGAAATTCGACAAATTATTGGTCGAATACTGCCAATATTTTACTATTTGAATTATGCTAATATTGCGGCCCTCTTAACTGGTCTTCTTAACCTACTAACAAGGGAAAGTCACAATCAATGCGTCACCGATTTCAACCAATTTTTTTTGGTGATTCTACATTGGAAAATATTGGACACCATGCTTCAGTGTACATTCTTCTTAACAGCTGAAGAGAAAATTATTTTATATTATTTCAAACAAAATTTATAATATTGTTTTTTTCCTATTAATGATTATTTAAGTTATTATTAACCAATCAATTTCTTGTTCCTGTAAAATAATAAAATAAAATTTTGTGAATAGAATTAAATGAATTCAAAAAACCAAAAGACTCTTCTAGTAAAGTAGGTCATGTAAATTTTTGTTCTAAAAAAGCAAGTTTATTTGTTAGAAATAAAAAATAAAAGTTTCGGGACTTTCCTGAAGTTTTTTCCTGCAGTTTACTAAAGCATTCATGACTTCTCTGAAGTTTTCCAAATTCAACATTGATCTGGATCACCATTGGAAAGCTGAATTACAATACTTAATCTTTGGTTCCTACTTGCTTATGGAGTTTATGTTTGTACCTTTTACGTTGTCTGTAGGGTACTAAATTCCTGATATTTTTGGGGGGATTCATCTTTGAACTATCATA